CGCCGCAGCCGTGGGCTCGTCTCCCGCCTGGTTGGCCCGGCACCTCCGGAGGCGGTGGCCGTGGTGGCGGCCCGCGCAGCTTGGCGTCTACCAGCGGCTCCAGTGCTGTGACCTGCCAGTACCAGCTTCAGACCGGGCCTCTCCGCGGCACTCTGTGCCGCCGCCCGCACCCGACCGCCCGCTGTTTCCGCCGCCTCGACGATCTTTTTCGTCGTCGCTTTGGCCCGGCCCCGGACCTCCCTGACTGGCACAGCCTGCTCCGCCAGGGCGTGCCGATCTTTGAGTTAGACATGGATCAGATAGGTGCTGCTTTGCATGCTTTGTATGCTGACGCTTCTAGTGTTGATGGATCTTACTACCCTGTGTACTCTAGTTTAGGTGTTTCACCCTTGTGTAGCTTAGCTTCCCCTGCTGCGACAGGCGTAGGACTGCCTAGGTTGCCTAGTCTAGTCGCTGCACCGGCTCCGTCCCCGGCCCCCGCCACTGCGTCGCTGTCCTTCACTCTCGACTCTGGTGCTTCTGCCTGCTTCTTCCGCGACCGTTCCACGCTCACGCCGCTTGCTGCACCTGCTGTTGTCTCTCTCGCTGACCCCTCTGCGGGTCCGGTCGTCGCGCGCAGTTCTACGTCCCTTCCCTGTCCGGCAGTTCCCTCGGGCTCCCTTACTGGCCTCCACGTTCCCTCGTTCTCCAGGAACCTGGTTGGTGTCGGCTGTCTCCAGGACCTCGGCGTCACCACCACGTTCCCCGGGCACGAGCGGTTCGCTGTCTGTTCTGAGGCTGTCTCAGGTTCCCCCCTTGCGACGTTCCCCCGGGACCCGGTGTCCGGTCTGTTTACCCTACACACCGCTTCCCCCCCGGTTGGTGCGTCCTCCCAGGTCGCTGCAGCTTGCTCGTGTCGGTCCCTCACTCACCCCTCCCTTCTCTGGCACCACCGCTTAGGTCACCCTGCTCTCCCGCGTCTGCGTCACATGTCCCAGCACGGTCTTGTCTTAGGTCTCCCCGCGTCGCTCCCTGCCCTTCCTCCCTCGACTGCGCCACCGTGCACGCCTTGCGTCGAGGGTCGGCTCCGCCGTGCTCCTCACTCCTCCTCGCTGCGTCCTGCTACTGCCCCCCTTCAGACCCTGCACTTGGACGTTTGGGGCCCTGCCCCCGTCCCCGGACCGCGCGGTGAGCGCTACTTCCTTGTGCTTGTCGACGACTACACGCGCTACACCACGGTGTTTCCCCTGGAGCGGAAGGCCGACGTGCCCGACGTTCTTCTCCCGTGGGTTGTGGCTGCGCGTCTCCACCGCGGTCTCCCCGTGTTGTGTCTCCACTCCGACCGTGGCGGCGAGTTCGCCTCTGGTCGGCTTGGACAGTTCTGTCGTGCGGAGGGCATCACCCAGTCGTACACGTTGCCGGACTCGCCACAGCAGAATGGGGTTGCTAAGCGCCGCATCGGCTTGGTCATGGAGGTCGCCCGTACCTCCATGATCCATGCCGATGCCCCCCATTTTCTGTGGCCGTTCGCTGTTCGCTACGCGGCTCACCAGCTTAACCTGTGGCCACGCTCCCAGCGGCCGCAGGTTTCGCCGACCCTCCTTTGGACCGGGTCCCCCGGTGACGCGTCTGCGTTCCACGTCTGGGGCTGCCTTGCTCACGTTCGTGCCTCTGGCACGGACAAGCTCACTGCCCGCACTGTCCCCTGTGTCTTCCTCGGTTTCCCCCTGGACTCGTCTGACTGGCTTTTCTACCACCCGCCGTCTCACCGCTTCCTCCACTCTCGTGACGTCACCTTTGATGAGTCCGTCTCCTTCTACCGCCGCTTCCCTCACCGAGGTCTCCCAGTTGCCCCCCCCCTTTTCCTTGCTCCCTCTCCCCCGGTAGCCCCTGCCCCTCTCCCGCCTCGTCCTGCCCCGTCTGGTGTCTCCCACGTCACTCCCCTCCCGTCGGTTGTCCCCGTTGAGGAGTCTGCTGACTCTGGTGGTACCCCCGGTCCGTCCTTGCCGCGTCCCCCTTCCCCGGTGCCTCCGCCCCCACTGTCGCAGTCGCCGACCCCGCTGCCGCCGCCGTCGCCGTCGCCGCCGCAGCCGTCGCCGCTGTCGTCGCCGCCGCCGCCGCTGTCGCTGCCGCAGCCGTCGCCGCTGTCGCCGCCGCCGCAGCCGTTGCCGCCACTGCCGCCGCTGCTCTCGGCCCCTGGGGGTGCTGGTGTGGAGGAGGGTGTTCGTCCTGCGGCTTCTGGGGGTGCCGCTGGTGTTGGAGGGGGTTCTCGCTCTGGGGGTGTTGGTTCTGGGGGTGCTGCTGTTGAGTGTTCTGCCGACGGTCGTTCTGCCTCTGCTGGTCCGAGAGTTCCGGCCCAGCCGTCGTCGCCGCCGCAGCAGCCGTCGCCGCCGGTTTCCGCTCTCCGCCTGCTCGGCCTTCCCTCCCCGGACCGCGCGCCGGTGTCTCCCCCACCGCCTCCTGACCTCCCTGTCTACGGTCCTGTGTTCCCGCCGCCAGACTCGTCTCCGGCCCGTCTTCCTCCTCGTTCCCCTCCTGTGTCTCCTCCGCTGTCCCCTGACCCTACCCCTCCGTCTCACGTTTGGGCTCGCCGTCCCTCCCGTGCTCGTCCCGTCTCTCCTGTCCTGCCCACCCACCCTATGTTGCTCCGTTCCCACTCGTCTCGTCCTCCCCTCCTCCCGTCCCCTCCTCCCTCGTCCCTTGCTGTTGCACCTCCTCCGTTCTCTGACTACCTCCGTGCTGCTCGTCCCCTTGTCCCTCGGGTCCTTGCCTCTCTTGTTACCGACCCTGCTGTTCCTCTCTCGCGCCTTGACGCGCTTGTCGCTGCTGTCGCTGACTTCGCTTCTACCCGACGCCTTGACTACGCTACCGCTCTGGTCTCTGACCCTGCCCGTCCTCTGTCCGTCGGGGGTGCTCCTGCCCTTGGCAGTGACGTCCTAGAGGACAGGCAGTACGAGCTGGCTTTCCTTTCCGAGGCTGCTCCCCATCTCTGCTCCATGCTGTTAGTCCCTGAGGGTGACCCAGACGCCTTCGACATCCCGACCCCTCGCACCTACGCTGAGGCCACCTCGGGACCTTGGGCCTCTCAGTGGATAGCTGCCATGGAGCAGGAGATGGCATCTTGGAGATCCACCGGCACTTACGTCGACGCAGTTCCCCCGCCTGGGGTGAACGTAGTCGATGGTCGGTGGCTCTTCAAGATGAAGCGCCCCCCTGGAGAGCCGCCTGTCTTCAAGGCGCGCTACGTGGCCAGAGGTTTCAGTCAGCGCGAGGGGGTTGACTTCTTCCAGACCTTCGCCCCGACCCCGAAGATGACCACTCTTCGGGCGCTGCTACACGTAGCAGCACAGCGTGACTACGAGCTTCACTCCCTCGACTTCTCTACTGCCTTTCTTCAGGGCAGCCTACACGAGCAGGTCTACCTGCGCCGACCACAGGGCTTCACTGGTACCTTCCCTCCTGGGACCCTATGGCTTCTCAGGCGCCCGGTCTACGGCCTGCGTCAGGCTCCCCGCGAGTGGCACGACACGCTACGTGCCACGTTAGCAGACCTGCAGTTCTTTCCGTCCTCTGCTGACCCTTCACTGTTTGTGCGTTCCGGCCAGACTCCATTCTACATCCTTGTCTACGTAGACGACCTGGTCTTCGCTACTCCTGACAGGGACGCACTGGCCTCTGTGAAGGCTGAGCTGCTGAAGAGACACACCTGCACTGACCTTGGAGAGCTGCGTCGCTATCTTGGCCTGCAGATCTCTAGGGACAGAGCAGCACGCACCATCACTCTGACCCAGTCACACTTGGTGCGTCAGGTCCTTCAGAGGTTCGGTCTTCAGTTCTCCTCCGCACAGCCCACACCTCTACCCGTAGACCATGGGCTCTCTGCTCCCGTTCCTGAGGAGCCAGTAGAGCCCAGTGGCCCCTACGCAGAGCTGGTGGGTTGCCTCATGTACCTGATGACTTGCACTCGCCCAGATCTCGCATACCCTCTCAGCATCCTGGCTCGCTTTGTGGCTACAGGCAGACACCGACCTCAGCACTGGTCTGCCGCTAAGAGGGTTTTGCGTTATCTTGCTAGTACATCAGGCATGGGGTTAGTGCTAGGAGGACGCAGGCCAGTGGTCCTTACTGGGCACACAGACGCTTCTTGGGCAGACGACGCTGAGACGCTCAGGTCGTCGCAGGGCTACTGTTTCAGCCTTGGTTCGGGTGCTATCTCTTGGAGATCCACTCGCTCGTCGTCTGTGGCTCAGTCTAGCTGTGAGGCTGAGATCTACGCTGGTGCCATGGCGGCACAGGAGCTCCGCTGGCTGACCTTCTTGCTCACTGACTTAGGTGAGCGGCCTAGCTCTGCCCCGGTCCTGTACGCTGACAACAGGGCCATGATACTCCTGTGTCAGGAGCCTCGGCTTGAGGGCAGAGCGAAGCATATCCAGCTGCGGTACTTCCTCCTGCGCGAGCTACAGCAGCGCCGCCAGGCCCGCGTAGTTCACTTGGCCTCAGGTGCCAACACAGCTGATATCTTTACTAAGGCGCTTGCGCCTAAAGATCATCAGCGGCACTGTGTACAGCTTGGTCTTGTTCCTATAGCTGCTCCCCTGTTAGGATCCTGATTGTGTACTCTCTATTATATATGCTTGTCAGACTGGCCTTGTGGCCTTACCTCCAGTGGCTGGACTAGTAGTGCCACCCTGGCTTGCTTCAGTTTTGGTTGTATTCTTGCTGACTGGTCTCCAGACCCCTGCCTCAGTGGTTGGACTAGTAGTGCCGCCCTGAGCTGTTTGCTTCTTGTTTAGTTTCACCCCTTGTCTAGCCTAGGGGGTGTGTCAACTTATACATATTATCTATGTAGAAGTTATAGGCTAGACTGAGGTATGCTTCTAGTGAGTACAACCAACTAGTATTTGTTCTAGGTTTCCACCTCTAGTAATTATTCGTTTCTACGTTAACAGTAGGTACTACTATCATATGACTTATCCAACGGCAAATGCTATTTGCAAGCAGCATACAATTGAAATTGGAGCCACCTTTCAACAATACGATGTAGAATGCTCGAAATAAACATGATCTTCCGTTAAACCTATTTCAAGGTTATTATCTTCACTACACTCAACTAGAACTTTCATCTTGCAAATGCCCTCTTATCAAGCCTAGAGCATCTTGGGCGAATCTATGCTGCAAGAACTGAGCAAGAGGAGAAAAGGCGAGGGCGAGTGGATTAGCAGGGCGCGATATGGAGAGAACCTCAAACCACACGTCCTTGTTGGAGTCTATTCCCACTAGAAACCGCTCCTCACCCTCCTGATACGGTACAAACACGTGGTGCGGAGATGTGGGGGGGGGCGGGGGGGGGGGGGGAGAGAGAGAGAGAGAGAGAGAGAGAGAGAGAGAGAGAGAGAGAGAGAGAGAGAGAGAGAGAGAGAGAGAGAGAGAGAGAGAGAGAGAGAGAGAGAGAGAGAGAGAGAGAGAGAGAGAGAGAGAGAGAGAGAGAGGAGGGGAGGAGTAAGAGACATTGAACTGTTGATGGGTAGAGAGATACAGGGGAAGGTCTTAGTTTGAAAAGCTCTTGGTAGCAGACCAATAGTGCAATGGCAAATGACAAATAGTGCAATGGCATATGACGTGTCAGTGACTCAGTGAATTCCTCCAAGCGTATGGAACAGTGGTTGGGATCAGTGGAAATGCAAAATTAAGGGGATTTTGTGTGGGCACCACTCCCAACCACCGTTGGGAACACTTGCAAGAATTTGCTCTCGGAGGCATCAGCCAGTAACGTCTGACCGGGCCATGTTATGATACGGGGCAACGAGGATGGCTCATGATCACGGCACAGACATGGGCACGTGATAATAGCTAACTTGTAATCGAAATGGTCATGGGCCTGGGCATGGGCTTTTGGGTAGGGGGTGTGCGAGACTGACCAGGAAGTGGCCTTGGACCGTGCCGCTGCCCACAGTGTATGCTGCAGTGAGTGCGACGGATGGCGCGGGGGGCATGGTGGAGGCAGGGTTGGGTCCTGCAGGAGGAGCGGAGGAGGAGCCCGCGATGGTGGTGGTGGTGGATGGAGAGAGGGCGGATGTAGAGCCAGACGGTGTGAGAGGAGGAGGGGAGAGAGGAGGGAAGGTGTCAGTGAAGATGACGCGGAGCGGGTTCATGGTCCATGGGGGAGTGAGGAAGAGCGAGCGAGCTGCGACACAAACGGCATCCCCGACAGATGCGAGGCGAAGGGAGCGGGGAGGAGGGAGAGCAGACGAGGCAGCTACACTTGACCTGCTGTGGCCCGTGCTCCCGGGAATGGCACTGGTGGGGGTGCTGCTGCTGTTTTTGGAGGGATGGGTTGATGGTGGAGGGACGGAGAGGGCCCACGTCCACCCCACATTGAAGTGACTGGTGGGGGGGGAAAGATGGGCCGGGAGAGAGTGCCTAGTGAGGGAAGAGAGGGTGAGAAGGATGGTATTGAGCAGCTGGGATGCAGGGTATGATGGAGGGGGTGCTGCAGGAATGGGTGAAGAGAGAGAGAGAGAGAGAGAGAGAGAGAGAGAGAGAGAGAGAGAGAGAGAGAGAGAGAGAGAGAGAGAGAGAGAGAGAGAGAGAGCAAGGCGGCTAGTGGCACATACCTCCATGTCCCCAAGAGGCGCTGGCACTCGTGGAAGGCCTTGTTCCCCCGGCCCACCTTCTCGCACGTGTGCTGGCACCTGAACGCTCCTCCGTCCACCCGCCACCACTCCCTCCTCCGCCTCCCTGCCACTGCACCCCTGCCTCTGCTTCCGGTGCTGCCGTTGGCGCCACTGCTGCTGCTGCTAATGATGCTCTTGTGATTATTGACACCAATGCTGCTGTTACTATTACTGCCATTGCTGCTCCCCAAATTCTCGCTCCTGATGCTGCCATTGCCGTCGCTGCCGCTGCTTTCGCCTGTCGGCTGCTCTTGCGTCCCCTCCTTCTCCCCCTCGACCCCCCCTTCCCATGCCTTCACAGCACTGGTAACCGCTGCCAGCCCGCCCCTAGTGACGCCCACTAGCTGTGAAGGGTAGTTGAGAGGGAGCAATCTGAAGAGGGGGGTTTGGGTTGTGGGGGCAAAAAGAAAGATGGGGGGATAGAGAAGGAAGCGGATAGGGGAACAGAGCAAGGAGAGATGGTGCAGGGGAGTAGTTGGTGGGGGAGCACGGGGGGAGGGGGAAGTGAAGTGGGAGGAAGCGTTAGGGTCACCGTGTGAGGTTGCAGCATCGCTTGGCGTCGTCGGGTGTGGGCTCCAGCAGCGAAATGAACACCATGCCGGATGGCCCACGCGCAATGCGCGGAACTCGATACTCGGCACTTGGCGGTCGATTTCGGGTACTCGCTACTTGATAAACTGGTACTCGATACTTGTTAAGTACTCGCTCAAGGGTTTTTTTGTTATAAGATGCGATAAAATCTTACACTCGCGCGGCCCGAACTCAGCAATAAGTGCGAGTGTCACACGCTTCAAGCGTAAATTCGTGGACCAGAAATACGTAGTGGGTAGAGTGGAGGAGTAGCCTTCCTATTTTGTGCGAACAACTTCAGCTATAATGTACAGTAGTTGAAAGCCTTAAAGCGTGTCACCAAAATTTGTTTTGGCAAAATACCATACTAAACTGCTCTAGAATATTATTTGACCCGTTTCAGAACGCAAAACATCTTTGTGAACCGCAATTGGACATACTTAAAGTGAGGGTCTCAAGAAGCAGAAAACCAAATCCAAAGGTTTTGGAAACCCAACCGTCATTGACCGGGTTACCCAAAATCACCAGCGACACTTAACGACAAGGCCAACGAGCATTCCGATAGGTCCAAACTCACCAACCAAACTTGTGTACGACGCCTCCCTCCCACCCAGTCGCACACTGAAGAACAATTCCCAAAGGTTCGGCTTACCATTTGAGACGTTCGTTCCACCGTTTTCCCCGCCGTCAAACTCACTAGCCATAGGAGGTAAGCTTCATATCACCCTCGCCGCCTGTGATTAATTGCTTAAATTATGCCAGTGAGACATTGTTCATAGTAGGGCGTAGGCATGGACAACGGAGCAGTATTGTCGCCCACCATTAGCGCCTCGTAGTCCAACAATCGTTCGTCGCCCAAAACGCCATCGAACCAAGACGCGAGAAACGCCCGTTTCACAGTTCGTATTTGAGCGTCACCCATCCCGCCAAATTCATCACGCGATGAATTCGTCGCGCAACTCACTCTTTGCTCGCAGATCGCCCCAATTCCCCCACCTCGGCCCGCTCCCTCTTGAGCATATATTTTAGCAACGCCGCCACGAAGGCCTGCTCGCCCAATCACTTGCGTCTTCCCCTCCAGCTCGCCGCGCCATTTGCGTCTCCCCCCCAGCTCGCCGCGCCACTTGCGTCTCCCTTCCAGCTCGCCGCGCCACTTGCGTCGCCCCCCCCAGCTCGCCGCGCCATTTGCGTCTCCCCCCCAGCTCGCCGCGCCACTTGCGTCTCCCTTCCAGCTCGCCGCGCCACTTGCGTCGCCCCCCCCAGCTCGCCGCGCCATTTGCGTCTCCCCTCCAGCTCGCCGCGCCACTTGTGTCTTCCCCCCAGCTCGCCGCGCCCTCGCCACGCCACTCCCGTCCCCCCCCCAGCTTGCCGCGCCACTCCCGTTTCCCCCACAGCTCACCACGCCACTTGCGTCTCCCCCTCAACTCGCCGCGCCACTTGCGTCTCCCCCCCAGCTCGCTGCGCCACTTGCGTCTCCCCCCCAGCTCGCTCCCACCACTTGCTTCTCCCTCACTGCTTGCCGCGCCACTTGCGTCTCCCCCCTAGCTCGCCGCACCACTTGCGTTTCCCTCTCAGCTCGCCGCGCCACTTTCGAGAGGGGGAGAGGTGGATAAGAGCGCAAGAAGGTGGTTTAGAAAGGGGGAGAGTCCGATAGAAGCGTTAGAAGGTGGTTTAGAGGGGAGGGAAGGGCGGATAGGAGCGTTAGAAGGTGGTTTAGTGAGGGGGAGAGGGCGGATAGGAACGTGGTAAGGTGGTTTAGAGAGGAGGGGATGCGGATAGGAGCGTGAGAAGGCGGTTTAGAGAGAGGGAGAGGCAAATAGGAGTGTGGTAAGGTGGTTTAGAGAGGGGGAGAGGCGGATAGGAGAGTGGTAAGGTGGTTTATGTAAGAAATAGAGCTGAAAATGATTGATTAGGTAAGGAGCCCAAGGCTTTTTAAGTACATGGCAAGGTAAAGGGATGAAGTGGGAATCGGAGGGAATCCCAACTGGGATCTCCGGAATCTCCAATTGGGTAATTGGAGATTGGGGGGATCACAATTGGGTGAGGTTGGGATTTTGTGAGTACACCCCAACCCACTAGAACATTCCTAACCTAAACTAGGATATTAAAGTACAAATACAAAAGTGGGATTTGCAATCTATTTCTAACATACCCCCATAGACTGCAAACCCGGTCAAGGAGCACATAGTCCCATGGAACGAAGAAGGCGATGGTGGTCAGCCTTGCCAAGAGCCTTGGTAAAGAGGTCGGCGAGGTTGCAATCTGAGGCGATGTACCGTACCGTCAGCTGGCCACTTTGAACAAGATCTCGGATGAAGAAATGACGAAGTTCGATGTGCTTGGTGCGAGAGTGGAACACATGATCCTTGGTGAGGTGAATGGCGCTCTGGTTGTCACATTATAGGGTGGGCGACTGCTGGGGGTAGCCTAACTTAGCGAGGAGAAAGGAGAGCCAGCGTGCCTCTTGAGCAGCCATTGTGCCTGCGGAGAGCTCGGCCTCGCAGGACAACAGGGAGACTGCAGAGGACCGAGTGGAACGCCAGCTGATGACTCCGCTCCCAAGAGTGAAGCAGTACCCTTGGGAGGAGCGTCTGTCAGTTTGGTCATCGGCCCATGAGGAGTCTGTGTATCCCTCGGGCTTGACTAGAGAGGTACCACCGAGAGTGAGGATGTGAGACTTGGTGGCTTGTAGATAGCGGAGGACCCTCTAAGCTGCAAACCAATGCGAGGCAGTGTAGCATCCGGGGGAGACGTACCGAGAGAAGACACTAACCGGATAAGCCAAGTCTCGTCGAGTGCACATCATGGCATACATGAGTGAACTAACTAGCTTAGGGTACGGGTCCTTGCAGGTGTCAGGAGAAGGAATCGGAGGGGCCGTGAGCTGATGCTGTAGTGGGAGTGGAGTCGAGACAGAGTTACTGGAGTCCATGTCGAACCGCTTGAGAAGGTTGTCGATGTAGGACTCCTGGGAGAGGGTGATCGTGCAAGCCTGGCGGTCACGAGTGATCTCCATCCCTAGGTAGTTCTTGAGGTCACCAAGATCCTTCATGAAAAGGGCGGAGCTGAGAGCAGACTGGATAGCTGCCATGTGAGCTGGATCTCTGGCGGCTAGAATGAAGTCGTCGATGTAGACGAGGATGTAGAAGGGCTCGGAGGAGTGACGAACGAAAAGACTAGAATCTGAGGCGGAGGGATGGAAGTCAAGTGCAAAAAGGACTCCCTTCACCTTGTTGTGCCACTCACGAGGAGCCTGCTTGAGGCCATATACTGGGCGCTTCAGCTTCCACACTGTGTTGGCAGGATAAGTGCCAGGAAACCCTGATGGGCGTTCCATGTGAACATCCTCCTTGAGCTGGCCTTGGAGAAAAGCGGAGGAGGCGTCCATGGACTGGATCTCGAAGTTGCCGCGAGCGGCTATATCAAGAAGAGCACGCACAGTCGGGAGCTTGGCCGTGGGTGATAATGTTTCGAAGAAGTCGAGATACTCCTTCTGGGTGAAACCCTTCGCCACGTATCGTGCCTTGAACAGTGGAGCTTCGCCTGGGAGTTGTTTGACCCGGAAGATCCATTTTCCGCCGACGATGTTGACACCGGAAGGGGGAACGACATCGTCAAAGCTGTTGTTGCGAATGAACGCCTCGTTCTCCACATCCATTGCTGCCTTCCACTCCTTCTTATAAGGCCCCGAGAGAGCTTCCTCTTTTGTGCGAGGAGTCGGAATAGTCGGATTCTCGGTGAAGTTGAGGGAAGGGCAGTCAGTAATGTCCGGGAAGATGTGTGAGAGGAATTGGCAGACCGCGTGAAGGTCAAACAGCTCCTCATGCCTATCCTCCAGAAGTGCACAGTGGGGAATACGGATGGAAGAGACATCACCCCCGGCAGGAGAAGGCGGGGTGACCGAACACCGAATGGAGAAGGCGTCTGGTCCCCAGGCGAGAGGCGGAGCCGATCCCTTGGAACGAGTGCGACTAGAGACCGGAGACGAAGGCGGCTGCGGTGGGACCGGAGGGACTGGGCACTTCCGGTAGGAGACTGGTGAGCCGGGCTCGACGCGTGGGGAAGGCGGAGCAGGAGGAGGTGCCGCTGCGGAGGATACCGTGGAGGCCGGGTGAGACACGCCGGACGGAGAAGGCCCCGGAGAAGGGGCAGCGACTGAGGGTAGAGCATCGAAGTCTGCCCATACAAGCGTCGGGGGAGGTGGACGAAGCTCGCCCGTGGTCGCAGAATGGAAGGGGCGTGTCTCATCGAAGACGACATCACGGATGCGAATCAGCTGTCTGGTGATGGGGTTGAGGAATAAGTAGTCTAGGGAATCGGAGTTGTGCCCCAGGTATATGTAGGTCTGGGTTTTGGGACCAAGCTTGCCACCTTGCTTCCTGCGCGTGTGGGGGCTGAGCAACACATATGCGGTACACCCCAAGACGTATAGAGAGCGGGCGGAGGGCGTGGCCCCAAGCCAGAGAGTGGTAGGTGTGGTGTCGGGCCGGTGGGGATGTGGATAAAGATTGTAGAGGAGAGCCGCATGGAAGATGGCATATCCCCAGAGTGACCGTGGTGCGTTGGCGTGACTGAGGAGGCAGCGAGCGATTTGAAC